GATGTTTTTTAAAGATTTCAAAATGTTTTTGTTAATTCCCTCCCAGGTGTATGAAAAAACCTGACAAAAATCTGAGAAAACACTGAAAATCAATAAAAATTCGAATTTCGCGCGCTTTTACCGGCAGTTGGCCTAGAAAACTCACACCTGGCCGCTAGGCCACCGGGTCCCACTTTGACTTTTCGATGCCGTTTTTCTCAATGAAGGATTTTTTTTTGAATTTTTTCTTTGCTTTTATGGGAATCTACATGGATTTCTGCACAAAATAAAGCAATAAAATCTTTCACCGCACACCACCTTTAATGGCGCACATCTCAAAAATTACGGTAGCTAAAAAAAGTTGTCAATCATTTTATGCTAATGTAAGCAACTTTGTAGTTTATAAATTTTATCTATCTACAGTAGTTTTTGAGCTGTGCGCCTTTAAAGACAGGACACCTTCCTCGCCGCCCTCTCCGATAGGCCTTTTTTGGTTTAAAGGTGGGGGGACATGAAAAAATAATGTTCTCGAAATTCCGTTTAAATATGCCCCTCGAGGAGTTGAACTTGTCGAGACAAGTATTGACAGTGCGGCGCCGCTACCGACTGAGCCACACGGGCAAAAAGGCAGCCGGCGCCAAAATGCATACATAAAGGTGAGGACGACCGCTGTAAGCAGAGTGACATTAAGCGTTGTACACCGTAACGGTAGAATGCATACCCTAGCTACAAAAATCCTCGAAAAATCTCCTGTCCCTCCACCTTAAAAGGCGCATATCTAAAAAACTACGGTAGCTAAAAAAAATTGTCAACTAAAAAGATGTGTATTACTCTTGTCCGAAATCAATACACGTTGCGACCGAGAAAACAACGGTGGGCGAAGCTTAGCTCCCACAGAGAGAACCTTACTGTATTTTTCAAATTATTGCACGCGCCTTTAATACAGTACCTCAACATTTATCGAATTTTCTCAAATTTCTCTCATTTTTTCGCTTGTTTCTATCTAATTTTGTGTAATTCTTATAAATCTTTAACTTATTCTTCTTTTAAAATAGAAAAAAAACAGCTAAAAAGGGCCCAAAATACAAAACGTCCGAGGTACGGTATTCNGGGCCCCACCTTTAAATGAAGGCCGGCTTCTCGGACAGGACAGAGAAGGGGGAGAGGAACTTTAAAGGCGCATAACTCAGAAACTACTGTGGCTAGGTGAAAATCACCAACTAAAAATTGCTCAGCATATTATTTTACACATTTGTCTAGTTGACACCTTTTTTCTAGCTACCGTAGTTTTTGAGCTATGCGCCTTCAAAGTCTGTATCGCTGAGACGCAGACAATTAGAGTGTCTAGCTGTCTGCGTCTCTCCAGCAAACTTGCATATCTTGGCTTCTAAATGAGTTAGAGGCTTCTAGTTTAGACAGAAATATCTAAAAAATTTTGGAGATTTTTTTTTCGAATTTTGAATTGTTTTAAATTTTATTTTCAGATCCCCCACCACCGGATCCGATGACGTGGCAGTCGTACGTCCTCCCACTCATCGGAAGTGCTCTCTTGTCCACATTCACCTTCTTTTTAGGTATTTTAAAGACCAATTTTTTTTCTGAAATTTGTTTTTTTCCAGGAAAATGGGACTATTCGGTTGTATGGGTGCTGGTTATAGTGATTCTAAGTGTCACTAAAAGTTTTCTATGGAGAAAAAGAGAAAGGAGGTGCGGACATCCGGATAAACAGAAATTCAAAAATTACTTTTTTTCAGATTAATATCTCTGCGAGCCACAGCTCTGCGTGAGAGAGAAGTCATAATGGCTCAACTTCAAGATCTTCCAGCTTGGGTTCAATTTCCAGACACTGAAAGAGTCGAATGGATGAATAAAGTGATACATCAGTTATGGCCGTATGTTGGAGAATATACAAAAACGTTTATGAACGATTTTATTATCCCACAGGTTAAAGTAAGTGCGCTCTATTGATAAATAACCGATAATTTTTTCTAGCTACTGTAGTCCTTGAGATGTGCGCCTTTAAAGTTGGCGCTCCTGATTACCTCGCGCACGTTAGACTGAAGGCCAACTTTAAAGGCACATATCTCTAAACCTACGGTAGCTAAGAAAAAGTTGTCGATTACAAAAATAAAGCTCTATTTTTGTTCTTATTTTTGCAGTTGACAACTGTTTCCTAGCTACTGTAGTTTTTGAGATATGCGTCTTTAAAGTTAGCGCCCTTCTATCTCGCGCGCGTTAGACGGAACGAAGGCGCGCCAACTTTAAAGGCACATAGCTCAAAAACTACGGTAGGTACAAAAAAGTTGTTAACTATTACTCTCGTCCGAAATCAATGCACGTTGCGGCTGAAAATTTACTCAAAATCGCATCGTCGGTCGCACAGCGAAAAAACAAATTGATACATGCGCCTTTGAATACCGTACCTCGGACGTTTTGTATTTTGGGCTCTTTTTGGCTGTTTTTTTTTCAATTTATAAGAAAAATAAATTAAAGATTTATAAGAATTACACAAAATTAGACAGAAACAAGCGAAAAAATGAGAGAAATTTGAGAAAATTATAAATATTGAGGTACTGTATTAAAGGCGCGTGCAATAATTTGAAAAATACAGTAAGGTTCTCTCTGTGGGAGCTAAGCTCCGCCCACCGTTGTTTTCTCGGCCGCAACGTGCATTGATTTCGGCCAAGAGTAATACAACAATGAAGCTCTATTCAGAGTTTTCCTTTTTGTAGTGGACAACTGTTTTCTAGCTACCGTAGTTTTTGAGCTATGCGCCTTTAAAAGTTAAGCCCTCCTTCTCTCAGGCACCCTAACTTTAAAGACGCGTATCTCAAAAACTACGGTAGCTAGAAAAAAGTTGTCAACTACAAAAACAAAGCTTTTCACTAAAAATTTTCAAAATTTTGTTAGGCCCAAATGCCAGGAATGTTCAAAAATTTCAAATTCACAAAAATGGACATGGGAGATATCCCATGTCGTGTGGGCGGGATCAAAGTGTACACAACGAATGTGGGAAGAGATCGAATTATCGTTGACATGGATGTAGCATACGCTGGAGACGCTGATTTTACAGTATCCTGTTGTGGATTTACGGGCGGTATGAATAATATTCAGGTTGGTTTATTTTATAAAATTGATTTTTTTAATTAGTGCTTCTCTGAGCTTTGAAGGAGCCACTAGTTGAGCAATCGCGTAGCTCGAAGGATTCAAAAATGTGAATTTTCAGTTCTCCGGAAAACTCCGCGCTATTCTGAAACCCCTTCTACCGTATCCCCCAATGGTCGGCGGAGTGTCCGGAACGTTTTTGGAAATGCCAAAAATGGATTTCAACCTGACGGGAATGGGCGAAATGGTCGAGTTGCCGGGATTAATCGATGCGATTCGAAGTGTCATCAATAGTCAGGTACAGTAACCAGAATTCATGAAAATACAGTATTCCTATTCAGATCGCCGCATTATGCGTACTGCCCAACGAAATTGTGGTTCCATTGGCTCCAGACGTTGATGTCACAAAATTATACTTCCCAGAACCAGATGTTAGTTTTTTTTTCATCTTCGGAAAATTTTTTTAATTGTTTATGTTCATTTCTAAGACGCAAATACCTTCAAAAGCAGGCACATATGCCTTGAAAAAAACCAGCAAAAAAGTTTCCTTCCGGCGGACTCGAACCCTGGACCTCGTGGGCAATAATGTAGCGCGCTAGCCACTACACCACGGTGACACCACTGCAGAGAAGCGGGGGATGGCGTAAACATTAGCGGCTTTTCCGCCACCTTTTGCCGACATCCATGGCTCTCCTAACCCATCCCAGTGTGCTGAAGTCCAACGAAGGAGCGTCTCCAGATTCTGCCCAGAAGCCGTCAAATTCAGAATTTTGAAAATAAAGGAAAAGACAGAAAATAAAGGAAAAGTATCAAATAAAAGAAATTCAGATCTATCTGTCTAAGTTTCAGCTCAATCGGTCAATTTTGAGTGGGTGAAAAAGCGCTCGACATACGACAGTTAGAAAATACGTTATATCTCTAGAACCATAATTGCTATCAAAAATTCTTAACTACAAAAATGATCCTTATAAAAATTCACATATTTTGTTAGTTTATACATTTTTGATATCTTCAAAATGAATAGAGTTACGCCGTCTTAAGTTGCGACGCTCATATTATGAGACGCATAGACGAGAGCGTTAGAGCTTTATATCTCAAAAACTATAAGAGCTAACTGGAAGCTGATTACTACAAAAATGTAGAACATACAATTTTTAACATTTTATCAGTTGACAACGTTTTGATAGAATTTTTAGTCCTTGAGATATAAGCCCTCAAATGAAAGAGTCACTAAAATTTGGTATCCTATTTTCAATAAGTTTTTTCTCAAAACGGGTTGAAGCTAACAAAATTATGCCAAATACAAAAATGTAGGACCTAAAATTTTTAACATTTTATCAGTGGACAACTTTTCGATAGCATTTTTAGTTCTTGAGATATGCGCCTTTATAGCTGGGACTCCTTTAATCTTCTTGCCGATAGTTGCCTGCACAATTTCCAAAGGTGCATAGCTCAAAAACTACAATAGCTACAATAAAGTTGTCAACTACAAACATAAAGCGTATACAATTTTAAACATTTTTGCAGTTGACAACATTTGATACCACTTTTAATTCTTTAGGTATGCGCCTTTAAAGTTGAAACAAACGAAATTTCCAGGGTGTGGTTCGTCTGAAAGTGATCGAAGCGAAAAATCTGGAAAATCGAGACATCTCGTTCATCAAAAAAGGAAAATCCGATCCATATGCTGAAATTCAAGTGGGATCGCAATTCTTCAAGACACGAACAATCGACGACGATTTGAATCCAATTTGGAATGAATATTTCGAAGCGGTTGTTGATCAGGCAGACGGACAAAAATTGAGAATCGAGTTGTTTGATGAGGATCAAGGAAAAGATGAGGAATTGGGACGACTTTCGGTGGATTTGAAAATGGTTCAGGCAAAAGGAACTGTTGATAAGGTTAGTCGGGGTTTTCTGAAAGACTAGCAGTGTTAGAAAATTTTGGTTTACTGGAGAATGTAGACCTTGAAATTTTACACACTTTGTTAGTAAAAACGGAAACTTTTTTGTAGCTCTATTCCTAACCGAGATATAGTCACTTGAAGTTTGCCGCTTAGAAACGCAAGGAGGGGGAGAGACGCAGACAACGCTTGTGTCTGCATCTCTGCGTCTCTCGCCTTCAAAGCTGAAAACGGCCGTAACTAGCTTCAAAATGGTCCGTTTTGGTTCGTTTAAAGTGTATTTTGGAGAAGAAAACATGAGGAATCTGATGTGCCCAAAATTGAAACATTACATTTTCAGTGGTACCCACTGGAAGGCTGCAAACACGGTGACCTACACCTCAAAGCCACATGGATGTCGCTGTCGACGGATTTGAAGCATTTGGAGAGACAAGAATGGGAAGCTGAGTGGGGACAAGCGGACAAACCGATTCACTCGGCGCTTCTTATGGTTTACATCGATTCAGTTGCAGATCTTCCGGTACAGTAATCCCATAACAATTATAAAAATTGAGAACTGCATATTTACAGTATCCCAAGTCAAAATTGGAACCATCGCCATTCGTAGAAGTCAGTCTAGGAAAAGAGACGCAGAGAACGCCAGTGAAAGTGAAGACAGTTAATCCGTTGTTCCAGTCGAAATTCATGTTCTTTGTGAGACATTTAGAAGGACAGGAGTTGAAATTTGAGGTTGGTTTTGGGCAATTTCTGGAAATCTGAAATCTCGAGAAAAATAATTTAACACACACAATCATTTTTTTTTCTTCCCCCTCCTCGCGGCGCCGCGAAGCTCTCTTTTCTTATACGCGCTCTGCCGCAAGATGTTTCGGCGACCGCGTCGCGCAGTCGTGTACACGCGGCGTCGCTGATCCAGAGACTTGGGGGAGTCTCTGGTTCAGTCCCTCCAACCCATAGAAAGCCTAAGCAATTCTTTTTTTTTCTTTTTTTAGGCTGTGGATGATGGCACTCGTCGATCCCTTGGCACCCTGAACATCCCATTGACCACACTGATGAAAGAACCAAAGCTAGAACAGAACCAGCAGATGCATATGCTCACTTTAGGTGTTCATCAGAGCCCAATTGTGATTACCACAAGGATTAGGGTAAGTTTTTTGAAAATTTTATTAACTGTTTTTGTGATTTTTTTGATTGGCTTTTTCACTCTTCAGCTGTGGTGTGATTTGTGATTTTTTCTATTGACTAATTTTTTTTGGTGATTGGTGGTATTTTTAATTTCTTGTCCTTGGCTTTTTTAATCGGATAAAATCCACTAAAATTATCGGAAATCCCGAATTGTAGGTCCTGGAAAAATCAGAAGGAGACTCCGACAAGATGCGAGATATACAACGAGAAAAGGAGGATGAGAAATTGAGAAACAATGTAGAAATTTGAAAATTGAAAATGTTTTTCCCGCCAAAAATTTGAAATTGAAACTGAACAAGTGCGCTCCATTGGACAAGAGATTGAAATCAAAAATTAAAAACTTCAAAAATTCACAAAATTCGAAGTTCAGAACTTCAGGGTTTTGGAATTTTCGGATTTTTGAAATTTTCGGATTTCAGAAATTTGGAATTTTGACCTTTGAATTTGAATTTTCGGTTTTCTTAATTTTACAAATACACGGTATTTTTTAAGATTTTCAGCATTTCGAATTTCTGAAAATAATTTCCAGAAATTGGATTAGCCTGATTTTTGTTATTCTCGATTGTTGAGATTTCAAACTAATTTAGTACGATTTGTGACGTTGAGAGCTTCAAAATGAGTCCAAACACGACTAATTTCTGGCCACTTTCAATTTTAATCGATGCGTTGCGGTCGCGTCGCGGTCGGTAGACAGTCGTGTGTGATCTCATTTTGAAGCTGGAATTTCGGTAAAGCTGAAAACGATACTGAAACAATCAAAAAATGAGATTATTTTAAGATTTTCAGCGTTTCAAGTTTTCTGAAAAAATGTGTTCATAAGTTTGATCAGCCAGATCTTTTTGATTTTTGCGTTTTTATTTTTGAAATTACATTAGTACGTTTTGTGACGTTGAGGGCTTCAAAATGACCCCAAACACGACTATATTAGGACCACTTTTAATTTTGACCATTGCGTTGCGGTCGCGTCGCGGTCACGAGATCAAAACTCAAAGTTGAGCTAGACTAGTCGTGTTTTAGCTCATTTTAAAGCTCATAACCTGGAAAAGATGAAAAACACATAGAAACGAGCGGAAATTAGCTAAAAGTTGCAAATTCGAAAATTCGAAAATCCAAAAATTCTAAAATCGCACCTGATTCAATTTTCTGATTTTCCTGATTCCCACTAGAATTCCACTAGAGCGCACTTGCCCAACGACACAAAACGTTTTTCTGTAGCTTTTTTTCAAATTTTTAAAGCTTCCGCAGCCAAAAATTGTAAAACAAACACACACACCGAAAAAATGCTTTTTGGGCTAGAATTTAGAAAATTTGAAACAGATAAATTTTTTTTTGATTTTTTGAAATTGTTAGAAAGTTTTAAGAATTCAGAAATTCAGAAATTCAATTTTTCAAAAAAATTTCAGGCTCTCATTCAAGGAAAACCAAAAAAGACAAATGACAATCAATTGGGACATGATGTTTTAGGAGAATATGGAAATGGTAATTATCATCGATTATTGATTTTTTAAATAATTTCAGGATTTTAGAATTTTAGAATTTTAAAATTTTAGAATTTTAGAATTTTAGAATTTTAGAATTTTAGAATTTTAGAATTTTAGAATTTTAAAATTTTAGAAATTTAAAATTTTAGAATTTTAGAATTTTAGAATTTTAAAATTTTAGAAATTTAAAATTTTAGAGTTTTAAAATTTTAGAATTTTAAATTTTAGAATTTTAGAATTTTAGAAATTTAAAATTTTAGAGTTTTAAAATTTTAGAATTTTAGAGTTTTAGAATTTTAGAATTTTATAATTTCAGAATTTTATAATTTCAGAATTTTAGAATTTTAGAATTTTAGAATTTTAGAATTTTAGAATTTTCTCAAATTTTAGTAATTTAGAATTTTCTGGAATTTTAGAATTTTCTGGAATTTTAGAATTTTAGAATTTTTGGATTTTAGAATTTTAGAAATTTAAAATTTTAGAATTTTAGAATTTTAAAAATTAAAAATTTTAGAATTTTAGAATTTTTGGATTTTATTGATTTTTTCAGCCTTCCATATCGAAAGAGCAAATGGAAAAGTGAATGGAAATGCTGTAGCAGTTGAACCAGCAAAAACTGTCAATTTGGATGCAGCTGACGATGATGTGGAGATCAAATTGAATGTTGATAATTATCAGGTAGATACTGGAAGGGCATATTTTGAAATTTTTTGCGTTGAGAGCTTCAAAATAAGTATAAACATGCTTATGCTCCTTTAAATTTGGAATTTCCACTTTAAAGGCGCATGATGAGTCTGAAATTTTGAATTTCTAAAAAGTAGGTCATGATTATACTCATTTTGCATCGTACTAAAAAAGCAAATTCTCAAAAATTTGTAATTTCAGAAAAATTTAATCGGAAAACTTTCGAATATGGTTTGTTATTTTTCACATTAATCACTAAATTTTAGGTTTTTGGCACCAATGTTTTTCGAAATTTCATAAATTTCGGGGTTTCAGAATTCTGAAGTTTCCAAGTTTCGAAATTATAATAGAAAGATTGCCCCTCTATTTGCCCTCACTGTTTTCCTTAATTTGTTATTTTTTCAAATTTTCCTCCAATCAAGAACCACAAACGCGCTCTATCGCACAATTCAGTTTAATACCACAAATAAGAAGCAAAATCGTTGGAGCGCCCTTGAATATTTCTCAAATTGTTAAAAATCATTCCAGATCCTTCGCTCCGACTCCAACAGCTCATTGAACAGCCACGGACGGTCGAATAGCCGGCTGGGAAGATTATTCCGATCGAAACATGAGATGAAGAAACGAGAGACAAGGTAATTGCTTATTTGGATTTTTTGAAAGTTTCTGGAATCTTTCAGAACTTTTTAGAATTTTCTAAAGCATTCTAGAAGCTTCCAGACCTGTCCAAAGGTTTCTGGAACGTTGTAGAAGCGTCTAAATACTTTAACAGGCTTCTGGACGCTTCCAGAAGGTTCCATAATTTTCTAGAGGTTTCTAGAACGTTCCAGGGATTTCCAGACAAAATTTCAAACTTTAGAAAATCTGAAATTTTCCTCTTTCAGAGCCGACGAGAATCGCGGAGAAATCGAAATTCGAATCGATTTCGATGAACTGGTGAATCAGCTGAAAATCGCTGTAATTCGGTGTCGTGATTTGATGACTTTTGATAAGAAGGATCAGTGTAATCCTTACGTTTCGGTGAGTTTTTTAGAATTCAGAATTTTCGAAATTTTTCGTCTTCAGTTTTGATTTTTTAGGTTCGAAGTTATTTTAGTACGATTTGTGACGTTGTGAACTTCAAAATGAGCCTAAACACGGCTAATTTCGGACCACTTTCAATTTTGATCATTGCGTTGCGGTCGCGTCACGGTTGATAGATCAAAACTCAAAATGGAACTAGACTAGTCGTGTTTGGGCTCATTTCAAAGCTCAAAACTTGGAAAGGATGGAAATGATACAGAAATAATCAAAAAGATGATATATTTTAGGATTTTCAGCTTTTCAAATTTTTTTTTTAAAAACGTGTTCAGCAGTTTGATTATCCAGATCTTTTTGAGTTTAAATTTTTAAGGTTTGAAATTACTTTAGCACGATTTATGGCGTTGTGAGCTTTAAAATGAGCCTAAACACAACTAATTTCTGACCACTTTCAATTTTAATCGATGCGTTGCGGTCGCGTCGCGGTCGGTAGATAGAAACGCAAAATTGAGCTAATCTAGTCGTGTTTGGGCTCATTTTGAAGCTCAAAACTTGGAAGGAATGAAAATCATAGAGAAACAAGCAGAAAGTAGCTGAATATCTCAAAATTTTAAGCATTTTCTTTTCTAAACCCATTCTAAAGTTCAAAAATTCAAAAACCCTGAAATTCTACAATTTTCAGGTAAAACTGGTGGCATTGGATGGGCACAAGGAGGTTTTCAAAAAGAAAACACCAACTGCCAAGAATACGAGAAATCCGCATTTCGATAATCAGTAAGCTACAGTAACCCGGTAAATCTGCACATCTAACTATATTTCAGTGTCGAAATCGACGTCAATCCATCAGATTTATTGAACCATAAAGTAGTGATAAATGTGAAGGATGACACCAACTACGGTACTTTTGTCGCCAAACCAGTCCTTGGATGTGTGAGTTTTTTTCGTTGTAAATTTTGAAAACTTTTTTTTGAAAATACCAATTTTTCAGCTCGAAATCCGTCTCGACAGTCTTCTGAACCGTCAGCTCAGCCAACGATGGATCCCATTGTCCGTGGAGCGCAAATAAAACTTCTCCATTAAAAAAATTTTTTCAAATTGCCAAGAAAATGATATATTTTATTTTGTGCCTATTTTTGTACTTTTTGAAAGACGTTTTTGTCACAAACGGGTCGGTGAAATATACAATGAATTTGATTTTTGATGAATAATAATATTTTGATTTTTGATGAATAATTTTGGGTTGAAAAAAAAAGAAAAACGGACAAAACCGCAAAACGGATTGAACCCTTGGCCTCGTGGACACCAGCGCACAGGTATAGGGGGATTGCCGAAAAACGGGCCGTCTGGCGGGCGCGGACTGCCGAAAAGCGAACAGTCGGCAGTCGAATCGCGCGCCGCCGACGGTCCGTCTGTACGATTTGCGCCTCGAAGACGGACCGTCTATAATGATAGCGCCTTCTTGACAGTTCATCATTAAACCGGTAATAAACAATATAAATTCTTTATTCAACTAATAGTTTCTGTGGATTGTGTATTGTTTTTAAAAAGTAACTCTGATTTTTTCAAAGGTGAATTTTTATGAGTAGAACAAGAGAAAACACATAAGAAATCACAAGTTCTGAATAAGACAGAACTTCCGATTTTTTTTCTGTGTTTTCCATACTTGTGAAGGGCCGGTTTGAAGCGGATTGGTGTTCAGATAGTATTACTTCAATACGTCCAAGTGCGATGTCCGGACCGAGATTCGTCTTCCAGTTCTAAGTTTTTGGCTTCAAATTGATCGGCCCCATGCTTGATGGTACGAGTAGTAAGAGATCCTTCTCTATCTAATTCTTTCATTTTCTTGTGGATAACATGCCTTGCTTAACCAGGAAGGAATAAAAACAGAAAAATCAGATTGAAAATTATAAATTAAATATCTAATTTTTTACCTTTTCCATTCTTCATCAGCATTTTGGGCACGCATGTTGGTCTTCAAATGGTAGACTTGGAAAAGTGGCCATAGATGAGATCT